ACAGGCACCAGGTTGCTTTCTTCTCATCTCTGCTTCATTCCCCCCCCCTCCCGTCCTCTCTTTCTTCATCTACCTCTCCGTCTATGTTCGCTCTTCCCTCTTGCAAGTAACATTGCTCTATGAATAATGCATGAGTTGTTTTGTCACCAGTAGCAGTAATGTTGTCGGCATGCACCCAAAAATAAACGAGAGAACTCGTTTGCAAGCGAGAAATTGTGCTTGATTATGCTGATTACACGGTACCTATTTTCTTAATCAATATTAGTATATATATATATGCATATATTGAGTAAAATTGATGGCGATCACTTTACAATCATTATTAATAATGACAGGAATCATTGAAAATAGTTAAAATAGGTAGACGAGAAAAAAAGAAATAATAATAATAATAATAACAACAACAACAACAACAACGGTGGCGACGACGATAGCAAGGTAGATATTTGTGTGTGTTATTCTGAAAACGAGACTATCGACATTTACATCATTTGACAAATTAATAAGAACATGCGAGTAACCGTCCTCGATGAAGAAAAAGACCTAGAGGGTGTATATATATATGTATATACGTGTGAGAAAGAAAAGAAAAAAAACGACGACATTTAGAAAATCGACATTATATTATATTTATCTATATATTTATGTATATATATATATATACATATGAGTTTGCTAGTTGCAAGCCAATAGTGATATACTTGAGAGTAAGAAGAAAAAAAAGGAAGAGTAGTGACTAAAATAAGTGATTGATGAAAATAATAATCAATAGATTGAACACGTCTGTTTGTCAATTGATCATTTTTTATTTTCTTTTCACTTTAATGTGTTCGTGTTTCTCATCAGTCAATTCATTTATCCATTACCATCTGGCCGGAAACGATCATCTTTCTCCTTCTTTAACAAAAAAAAAAATGAGAGGAAACGACGCACGTCCTATATCGCTTGAGGAAAGTAAAAGAAGTTCTTTTCATTTTTTTCTTCGTCTTCTTTAATAATGACCATGACATTCAAATTTGATTGAGAGATCTCGTTCTCTTTCTCGTTCTCTTAGTTAAATATCTTTTACAAAAAGGATTAGTCACATCTTTCTATGTATATATAAAAAGCTTCGAGTGATGTGCTTCACCTGTACATGTAAAAAATTATCATACATACACAATAAAAAAATGAGAAGAAAGACTCTTTCTCTGTTGTCGTTCTCTCATTTTCTCTTTTGCGTGCATGTGTGTGTGTGTATGTGTTCACGCTCTTCTGTGAAATTGATATCGGGGTCAGTGCAATGACGGCACACATACAGAACGTCAGCATGCACACATAGAAAAATCTGCTGCATCTTTTTTTCTCTCATTCTCTCGTTTCTTTTTTCCTCTCCCTCTCTTCTCTCTACCACTATTGCCATTCACTCCTCTTCAACTATAACAGAAGCAACAACACAATTATTTCCTATAGAAATGATTTTATCTTAACAAAAAAAAATCTTTCTTTAGATGAATAATCTTCATCATCCAACAACACGCAGTTCAGGTACAGCATTAAATGAATCAATGAAAAAAACTCCATCACCTCGTCGTCAAACGACACGTTCAACGTCTAATATAAATAAAGATAATTTATCTTCCACAAATATTCAAGTTATTAAACCGGTTGCTGTACGTCCACCCTCATCAGATTCGACACAAACTTCATATAATTTACGTTCACGTACGAAATTAAAAACAACAAATTCAAATCATACAACAGAAGTTATACCATCATTTACAGAAAAACTTTCATTAGACACACCACAACAAAAACCGGTGCCACCATTAACTCGTGCTGCTGCTGCATCGGCCGGTGTTAAAATTGATTTATTTATGTGTGATGAATCAATAAAAACTAGTAGTAATCATAATAATAAAATCCCAATAAATTCTCAACAATCAACACGTTCGAGTACAACTCGAAAACGAAAAGCAAGCGAAGATGATCATAGACCTTATTTAGATTTACTTAAAATGAAACAGGTATTTATTTCAATTTATTTCTCCCTTTACTTAATATTATTGATTAGCATGATTATTATTATTTTTTTCGAGATAACTTAATGTCTTGTTTTTTCATATGTAGTACATTTGTCAATAATAACATATATATCATTTGATTTGACTCCTATTTTTTTCTCTTCCTCTCTCTATGAGAAAGAATGTTGACAGCTCTCCTCATTTTTTTTTTCAAAAAAGGGTAGTCGAATATTCTCGTTCGTTCGTTCGTTCTTTTTTAATTTATATAATTCGAATAAGAATAATGATCAATTACATCATAGATATACTGACATTTCATGTCTTGAGATATGTAACTGATTTGAATCATTTGTCATATTTTGTTATTTTTCTTGTCTCGTTTACTTTTAGACTCAATCAACATACAGTTTTGATGGCAATTCACCGAAAAAGGTATGTTTAAAGTATATTGCTACCATAATAAGTTAAGAGCAATGATCATCAAAAAGAAAAAAAAAATTTGTTCGATCAATCTATCGTCCCTCCTCTTTCTTCGTTGTCGTTGTGTCGTTGTCGTTCTCTTTTCCCTAAGTGAATGAAAAGGCAAAAGCATAGAAATAAATTGAGTTGTATGTTTATATGTGCGCTCTGTTGAGCTGCATACAAAATGTGATTGACAATCGCACCTGTTCACCTTTTTTTTCTCTTCTTATAACAAGTATAAAAAAAATCGATTAAGATTTTTAATATTTGACTGACTAATTGAACAAGAATAAAAGATATTAGGTTTCTTTCGTTATTTCTTCTTACTTAATTAGAATACTATAAATGTGCATGTAACACATTGTTTGACTTGAAAACTACTAATTTGCACGCTCGGTCAAATTCACTATGGAATCTATCAGAATAATGGAATACGACTACTGAATTGAAGCATCTCTGATTGTCTGTTGCACTCTCTTTTCATTTCCGCTCATTTTTTTTTTCTTCTTCTTCTTTTCTATAGATGACAAGACGTGCCGATCAAGACTGTATTGGATGCGATGATGAAGATAGCGGATGCGATTATGATTCTCCAGGTCATTCTCCGGTCGACTTCACTGATGTTCCTCCCGGTCATGTACTTCACTTTGAAGAATCAAATATGTCATATGATTCAGGTTTTAGTACAGGATCTGGTGAGGCAAATAATCAACAACGTTTATCTGAACATAGTCATTCATCGTATTCATTAGAATTAAATAACAGTGGAATTTTAACACGTAGTAGTACAATAAATTGTAGCAAATATCCTGCAGCTATTGATCTTGATGTTAATGCTATTGAAGGAGACCTTGGTTTCTAGTTTTCTCTGTTTTGTTTTGTTTTGTTTTTCAACTTATAACGAATACCAATTGTATTACTACATCCGTTTTCTTCTTCATCTTCTTCTTTTTTATGTTGTTATTGTTGTTCACATCATGATCATCACTCTATGCGTGCCATGTTTACCATTTTGTCTTGCTTCTTTCTCGCTGTCAGATGTGTGCTGGATTTATACATGGTTGTCATTTCTTTTTTGTTTTCTTCATCAAATTGCGCCATTGTGTATTTATATACTCACACTATTTGTGCGGCTCTTTTCTCTTAAACTCCTCGTCGTTTGTCGTCCCGTCAGTCGTTTTTCTTGTCTCGTGGTGGCGCATTTTCTTCTTCTTTCATTTCTCGTTAGACTATAATTTAAAACAAATATGATCTACGTCCGGTTCAATCAATGCTCTTTTTTTTTCTTTGTAAAGAAGATCAACGGCATTGATTAACGTATTATATTCATTAATATGCCATTCCTTGAAAAATATCTTCGCCTTTCTTTTGTTTTGTTTCTATTAATTTCCTTAAAATAGTCACACACTGTGTGTTCTTGACGGTTGCCATTTTTGTTCGGCTTTACAGGATTAGTTTATATATATATATATATATATATATATATATACATACCCATAAAAAGCTGTCTTCATTTTTCTTCTGTTTTTTTTTCGGTGGATTAAAAAGGATTCTTTTTTTTTTGTTCGTATATAATGCATAAAAAATAGACGAAGATTAAATGATAAAATGTAAAGTTAAGATTCTTTTATTTGTGCTATATAGGTCATTATGTTTTGAATGAAACAAAAATGAATTCGAATAAAATCTAAATGTATAAATTATAAACTCGACTATTTTATATATTTACAATTAACATAAAAACTCTATGTATATATATATATATATATTAGTTTTTTTTTCTTCTAATAAAAAATTATATATATGAAAAGTAGTCTGAAGAATAACATATTAGCAAGATATGCGTGATGAATTGTTTTTTTCTCGAATAGCAAATAAACTTTTTCTTTTATTAATAAATAAGTACAAAGGTAAGTTTCTTTTTTGATCTTTATATATTGACAGTAAATGAAGTTTTCATACAATAATGTATATTTATATGCCGGAAGTCATCTGTTCACATAGAATGATGTGTCTAGACTGCTTATATACTTACCAAATTTAACGATGACAATATATATATATATGAAGCTACTGCGCAAGACAGTTTCTAAAACAGATTTATTCTTTTTTTTCAAAATTAATGATATTAATAAGTATTTTGTTTGTATCGGATCATATATTTTTAAGAAGAAACATGTATGATTATAATTAAGTATTCTTGTATAATCCTTATTTAATATTATTTTACATTAATTAAAAACTTCTTTATATCACAGTTGTTTACATCTAATCTAATTATATAAATATATAATAACAGAAAAAAACGAGGGGCATAGATGTTTTTCTTTTCACAAAACATCTTTGCAGAAAAACCCGTTTAGTTTAAATTGAAGAAAGAGACGAAAAAAATACATCGATATGCACAAGAAAATGTCTTTCAGATTGTTACAAAATTTCAGTATTTTCTTGGGCACCTTTTTTTTTTTAATAAAAAAAACAAAACAAAAGGAATTGCACAACAATGCGTAAAAGAAAAATGATATCAATTTATTATCATGATAATGGCATTATCCTCACTAAAGTCGATGTTGGTGATGGTGATAAATTAAAATTTGACATATATTGTCGAGCATTTGATTCAGCACGAGCAATTAATAATTGAATTTCATCATTACGATCACGATCTTCTCTAAAATATTTGTAAACGAAATAGTTTAAATTCACTTTATAATGAAAATTTACTTGAATTTCAAGAGAGTCTAAGTATTTATTACTTTTATTTTAATTATATTCGAGAGTATTTTACAATAAATCATTTGAGTTCTACTTAGAAATATGAAGTATTCTTTTCATATGAATGTAATTTAAATATTTCTATAGGAACAAAAAATAAATAATAGATTCTTATATGATCGAAATCGTTCTAGATATTCAAGTGAATTGTGCATAATATATAGAATGTTATCTGCACTTTAAATAATGAATCATTACCGATTCTTGTTATTAATGAATAAATCGAAACGATATTTTTTGTTGTGTTAATATTCTAATCTATCATCTTAGTATTGATTCAACATAAATGTATCAACATTATTATTATTATGAATGTATTGTAATAATTTAACAGATGTTTTTTTTAAGAGAAAAGTTAAAACTTTACATTGTTTATGTACATGATCAAATAAAGTGTTAATTTATATCTCTTCTAATACACTAATAAAAATATCTTTTTATTTTTTAACTTGTAGAACTTTTATATTAGTTTACTATGAGAACATACATTATAAATGTAATGAAGATTAAGAGATCTGACAATTTCCAGGTATAAATGTTTATGTATCATGACAACTAGAAAGCATTTGTTAAATTCATGAAAGAAAAAACTATATTTTTATATTTGACAGCAAATTTATTATACACTAACAAACATGACAATGTCAATGTAGAATATAATGAAACTCTTATCAACACAGATTATACTGATTTTGACATGTTAATCATATATTTCTATTGCACATACAAAAGTATTACTTTCTTACGCTTAAATTTCTATACTTCTGCTGATACTCTATGTTACAAATATATCGAAGCTACAGTTAGGTTTAGATATAGATTGATTTTTAGAAAGATTTGTAAATTTAAGACTTAGGATTATATATGAATTAGTTTTTTTTATGTAAATTACCGTCGATCATCTTGTGTTCTCTTTCGCATCTGACTCATTATATCTCGAAGATCCGTATTTTCTTCTTCAAGTATTTTCATTTGAACTTGTAATGATTCTTTACTAGTTTTTTCATGTAGAAATTTTCGTTCATATTCGTTGATCTAATCAGAATGAAATTGTATATACATAAATGGATTAAGAAGAACAAATTTTCCTACTTTCATTCTTAATTCTTCAATACGATTTGATGAATCAATTGTACCACCATCAAGATTAATAACATCAGTTCTAAAGTCAATAAATAAATAAAGAAAAAGCTAAATACAAAAAACTTAGTATACCGTCGAACAGTTATATTTTCTAGTATCTGACTACGTCGTATATGTTCTAATTCTTCTTCGAGTAGACGATTTCTAATAGATATTAAAGTTCATATTATGTATTAAATTGATATTTTACACATACCTATCCTCAAGTTCATTTAATCTTTTGTATTCATTTGATATTTTTTCTTCAGCTGATTGTCGTTCAAGGAACATTTCTCGACTTTTATATTGTGTATCTTGTATTAATTTATCTTTTTCATAAATAACTTCTTTTTTATGTGTTAATTCATTTTTCAATCGCTCAATTTCATGTTGTAATTGTTCAGTACGATATTGTGCTTCACGTCTTTCACGATCCGTTTGTTCTCTGAATAAAATTTTCAAGTTATTCAAATTACAAACAAAAAATAAAGTTATTCTTTAACGTAGGTATGAATGAATGAGTGTGGGTATGAGTATGGGTGGGTGCGGATGTGGGTGTGAGTATGGATACGTGCGGATGTGGGTATAGGGCGACTGAATGTGGGTGTGGATGTGAATGTGAGTATGGGTGGGTGCGGATATGGGTGGGCGGCTGAGTATGGGTGTGGATG